GTCTTTTTTCTTCCTCTTCCTCTTCTTCTCTTTTTTCCTTTTTTTCTTCTAGTTCATTTATTTATTTATTTATTTATTTATTTATTTGTTTGTTTGTTTGTTTATCTTTTTTCGTTAACGTCGTTGTATTATCGCTCGCGCGCATACGTTATTATTAGGCCTTGCAATTAGGCTAACGTACGTAATAGCGTATACGTATGCAAACATATGTACGATTAGATAATTGAGAAGGAAAAAAAAAATAACAATAGAAAAAAAAAAAAAAAAAAAAAAGAGAGAAAAGAAATTAAAAAGAATAAGAGAAAATGATCGAAAGGATTGTCTGAAAGAAAACAAGAAAAAAAAAAAAAAAAAAAAAAAAAGAAAAAAAAAAAAGAAACGAATGAAAATACAAAAAGAGAAAAAGTGGGAAATAAAAAGAAAAGAAACGGAAAGAAAAAGGTTTCGACTTTTCGCTTCGCCGTGTCGTCCGTTCGCCCATTTTTGAGCCGAGTGGGATCGAGCAAAAGCTTTCATGCTTTGTTATTATACATATACATATGTATGTACTTACAATCATATACTAATTCTTCGATCGCATTAACGAAATTCCATACATTTATGGAATATAGTAATACCGTCGATCTGTTTTCTTTCTATCTTTTTTTTTTTCATTTTCTTTCTTTTTTTTTCATTTTCTCTCTCTCTCTTTCTCTTTCTTTCTCTCTCTTCTATTTCTTTCTGGCACCTCGTCGCTTTGATCATCTTATTATTTACTTTTTCTCTCTTTCTCTCTGTCTCTCTCTCTCTCTTTCGAAAGCGTATTATAACTATGAAATAATCGTAATCGCAAGCACGCGAGCTAAGACGATTATCGAGATTCAATACTATATTTCTCATTTTGTTTTTCTTCTTCTTTCTCCTTCCCTTTCATCTTGTCTATTTCATATTCGTAAGTTTATGTACTTACATATATTGTCGCGAGATATGATATAATCATCATCGTTATTTATATAATAGAGTATATATACTCTATCCCTTTTTATGTGTATATATATATATATATGTATATATATATATATATACATATAAACATATAGAAGTTATATACTCCGTATATAACCGTCCATCTTGAAATCCTCGATCCGGCAATAATCGAGAATGATAATTAGAGATCAATACATATCAATATCGAATAAGATTGATAATTTTCGTCTCTCGTTCGCTTTTTTTCTTTCTTTTTTTTTTTTTATATACCGTCGAATATACACATATACATACACATATATATATATATATGTATATATATAGAATATATTATATATATATAGTTTTTTTTCTTTTTTGCAATATACGATATATCTCACGCACCTATAAATATGTAATCGTAATACACGCTCATTTCGGAATTTCTTCTTCCGTCATACTTTTAGAACTTTTCCTATTTTTATCGCGGCAATCATTTCCTTACGATACACAAATATATCATATACATATATGAATATATATATATATATATATATATATATATATATATATCGCTTATATAATCACGTTGTCGAATTTTCTCAAAGGAGAAAGAATTATCGTGTAAATACGTAAGTACATAAGTAGGTACGTACGTAAGTATGCATGTATGTATGAATGTATGTATGTATGTATGTATGTATGTATGTATGTATGTATGTACGTATGTATATATGTATGTATGTTCGTATATATGTATGTATGTACGTATATATGTATGTGAATATGTATGTATGTATGTTTGTATGTATGTATGTATATATATATATATACTTGTTATTTATTTATTTTTTTTTTCATCTTCTTTCATAATCGCTAGGAGTCGTAGTTCAGCGGAACATTGAATTTTATACTCTTATAAGGCCCAAATATTGTGCGCTACCTGTTCGATCGAAATACGCCGAAATACATAAGACGAAAGTGTTACTTTTTTTTTCTGTTTTTTTTTCTTTTTTTTTTTTTTTTTTTTTATACAGCTCACTCGTACGATCATCGTCATTTTATATATATATATATATATATATATATATATATATATATATACATATATATAGGTACATATACACATTACGATCGAAGACTCGCATATCGGCGATTGGACGACGATCGATCGGTGATAAGCGAGTCTTCCGAAAGCATATCGAAGGCTCATAGAAAGCTCATCGAAAAAGCTCGGCTAAAGCTCCTGCTCGATCCACGTAACGCGTGTTCGATCGTTGGAAAGCAGCTGTTCTTATCGACTTCGGGGTCGAGGGGGTTGGAAGGAAATAGAGAAGGAAGGAGAAAGCCAGCGAACTCGAATCGATCCTGTATATATATATGTATATATATATATATATATATATATATATATATAAAAAAAGGAGAAAAAAAATAGAAAAAAAAGAAGAAGAAAAGGAAACTGCGAATTTGGGAAGCACGTAGGCCTCCTCTCGACTCCTGGAGTTTTTATCCTGGCCACTTGCTCGACGTCCTTTAGGGACATTTCGTAGGTTTCTTCGATTTCTCTTTCTCTCTCTCTCTCTCTCTCTCTCACTCTCTTTTTCTCCATTTCTCTCTTTCTCTCTCTCTCTCTCTCTCTCTCTCTCTCTCTCTCTCTCTCGTGTACGTGTAATCGTGATCGTCGTCGTTAATCAGGCTGACGCAACCTCGGTACGATCTCAATCTTCCCCTCCCTTCAAAGAAATCCTTACGTCCCGTGGAATGCCTTACCGAACATCTCGACGATTATATATCTCTCTTTTCTAGCTCCCTCGAGATACGGCTCGTTCAAGTGGCGCTACCGCGTACCAAAAAGGACTCGTCCTTGTCGTCCTTGCGACGGCGTCCAACCGACGATAACGAGGAGGATCGACGATCGCGAGAAGAAACGTCACCGGTATTAACCTTAACAGCACCAATATCGGTAGTAGCAACAGTGGCAGTAATAGATGAAATAGATTCGGACGTTTTCTTTGTTTCCGAAGTTGCCGTTTTCGAGGCGAACGTCGAGGAGGTATCGTCGATCGTTGACGAGGATGGGACGAGCAGCGTGACAGATGAGGATGCTGCCGTTGCTGTTGCTGTTGCTGTTGCTGTTGCTGCTGCTGCTGCTGCTGCTGCTGCTGTTGGTGCCGAATTGCTGGAAGAAGAGACTGAGGATGTGGATGAGCTGGAGTACGAGCTTGAGGATGAAGAAGAGGTAGAGAAGGAGGATGAGGATGAGGAGGAGGATAAGGTCGATGCCGTTCGATGTCGAGTCGTTCTAACACCGTCGACGAGATTATTTCGGTCCTTGTTAATAGAGACGTTCTTCGTCGGCGACGTCGTCGACGCCATGGTCGTACCTCGCGATGCCGACACCGTCGACGACGTCGTCTCTCCGCCGAAGCCCTGTTGACTCCTTGTCGTCGACGTAGACGACGTCGTTGTTGCCCGTTGTTGCTGTGACTGTTGTTGTTGTTGTTGTTGTTGTTGTTGTTGTTGTGACTGTTGTTGTTGGTGTTGCTGATGATCGAGGACTCTGGCTCGACGATCGTTTCGCGATTGGACGAACTGCTGTCTGGAACTGCCGAAGTAAATCTTTCTACCTGGCCCCGATGAATTTCCTGATGTCGATGATGACGATGAAGAGTAGATGGAGGCGGAGTAGGACGATGAGACCGACTCGAACTGATGATAGGACCTGGTGACCGCTGGTACAGCTGCTTCCTGTGTACCCTCGACCAACGACCACCTCGTAGAGTCCGATAGAGGCTGTACGAGAGACTCAGGAGCACCGATTGTATCACGTTGCTGTTGCTCGTCGCCCAGATCGCCAGCGCAGCCGTAATCGTAGCTGCAGCATAACTGCCCGTCCTGCGGAGAGTTTCGTTCGTTCTCGGGTTAGCCACGGCGGAAGGAAGCCATTTACACCGATTTGTGTGTGTGTGTGTGTGTGTGAGTGTGTGTTTGTGTGTGCACTTGTGTATCCGTGTGTGCCCCATGTGTATTTCACTTGCATGTAGCTTCTTTTTTCTTTCTGTACGTGTACGTGTTTGTGTGTATGTGAATGCGTGTGTGTGTGTGTGTTTGTGTGTACGTGCGCGCGCGTCTGTCTGTCTTTTTTTTTCTTTTCTTTAGCAATCTCCGTCCTTCGAGCCGAAGAGTCCTTTGAACTTTCTTTCTGTTTTCTTTTCTTTTTTTTCTCCAAACGTACGACTTTTGCGACGAATAACAAAGAAAAAAAAAAAAAAAATAAAAAAATAAAGAAAAAAATAAAAAATACGTCACCACGAACATCACGAAAATAATTTCAAACAATTCTATCGGAGACACTTCGGCCATTCAAGGACAAGAGAGGAGGTACTCGTTCAACATAATATGTTAATTCATTGTTTCTCTAAACTATACCACTTCGTTCCGCCGTGTGGAGTAAGGGTAAGATCGATGAATCGAACAATCCCGTCGTCCATTTTATTTCCTTTCGTGACGTCCTCTCGTATGGCCGCTCCAATATCTTGTTTCTTTGCTCTTTTACGTTTTCTTTTTTTATTTTCTCTTGTTTTGTCTTTTTTTCCTTTTTTTTTTTTTTATTTCTCTTTTCTTATTATTATTATTATTATTATTATTATTATTATTATTATTATCGTGAATCAAAAGGACACGTTCCAAAACGATCACAAATTACAATAATCGTAATGACAATCATGCTGACATTCGAGGGGGGTTGGGGAAAGGGAAACAAAACAATGAATTTCCATAATATGTTTCTCGAGACCCGACGACAGATCTCTAAGTTCTCACTACGCTCGGATTCGTTCCTGGCAATTTTGTGATATCTAACGAGAGGATAAATATATATATATATATATATATATATAAATATAAAAAAAAAAATATATATATATAAAGATATAAAAATAGTAGAAAAATATTCAAGATATTATTATTCGTGCATTTGTAAAACGTTTCGATTGTGAAAATCACCAGGATCGTCGGACGAGCAAATATCGACAGAGATAGAGATAGATAGAAAGAGATAGAGAGATAGAGAGATAGAGAGAGAACGAAAGATAGAGATATAGAGAGAAAGAGACAGAGAGAGAGAGAGAGAGAGAGAGAGAAAGAGAGAGAGAGAGAGAGAAAGACTTTTGGTGCTTCTATCGAATTTCGAATGCAAATCAGAGGAGGGTGCAAGAGAGGCTCTCGAGTGTAACAACAAAAGTCTAGTGGAAGATAAAGAACGGTAAAGAAAAAAGAAAAGAAAAAAAAAAGGAAAAGACAAAGAAAAGAAAAAAGAAGAAACAACACAGAAAGAAAGGAAGAAAGAAAGAAATAGAGAAAGTAAGAAGGAAAGAGAGAGAGAGAGAGAGAGAGAGAGAGAGAACTAACCAACAAATAAAGATAAGAAAAAAAGGAGAAAAAAACTCATTCAAGATGCATTATGTGTGCTTGTGTTTGTATTTTTGTATATAGATATTACGTGTTTTCGTCTTCTTCGTGCGCTGCAAACGACCATAACGAGATACAAAAAAGATACGGGAAGAAACGTGAACGGAGACCCCCATTAAACCCATCGTTCGCTTGATACCAACAAGACAGTACATGTGTCGAAGTGTGCGTACGGGGGGGGGCGGTGGAGGATAGGAATTAATTAGGGATTGGTTCAAAAATATTTAATTGGTTAAAGTTATTATCAGATAATGTAAGGATTGCATTTGGATTTATTTCTTTCTTTTGTTTTTGTTATCTCAAATGGAAAGTGGAAGTGAACGAATATTTGGGGGACAGAGTGAGGTGGGGTGGGGGTTGCATGCAAATTTTGAAAACGTGCAGATATTTCTAGCCATTGCACGAGAGACAGATTAATATTTTCGTTCTCGGCCGATCGATCGATCGATCGATCTATCTACGATCATATAGAAAAATAATCGATGATAACGAAGATAAATCTTAGCTATATAATTGAAAATCTTTTCTTTTTTTTTTCTCTTTTTTTTTTTCTTTTCTTTTTTTCTTTCTTTTGTTTTCAAAAATGATATAAAACGATGAATAATTAAACGCGAACGAAATGTAAATAAATGAATAAATGAGAAATTCAATGATTTTATTATGAATTAAAAAATCTTCGTGGAAATTAATCGTAGAGAAAATAAAGCATTGTTGTTACATACGCATACATATATACATACATACGCACACACACATATATATATATATATATATATATATATATATATACATATATATATACATGTATCCATGTATGTATGTAGGTATAATCTTGTTAATGGATATGTTATATTAAGTAATATTATTGTAAAATGGAGTAATGACGTCACGGTCGAGAACACTCTCGTGAGAACGCGACGAACGATCATGCTGCGTGCTCGCGAGTCTCTCTCGAGACAAGAAAGCTTTGGTGATCAGCGTGCGGCGATCGACGAGAGTCCTCTAAAGATAATTATTATTACGAATTTTTTTTGTGATTTGGGAAAGACAAGGCAAATAGAAGAAGATAGAAAGTTAACGAGAACGAGATAGGTAGGGAGATAGGTAAGGAGATTATGGGAATGTAGAAAGAAAGAGAGATTTCATTTAGCTGGAAGATAACGAAGGTAAAAAGTAAAAGTGGACGACGAGAAAGATATAAAACAAAAGTATATATATATATATATATATATATATATATATATATATATATATATAAGAGGGAAAAGAAAAAAAAAGGAAAAAAGAAAGAAAGAAAAAATAAAAAAGAATGAAATAAAGTTTAGAGAACGAGCAAAGAAGGCAAATCGAGCGATCGATCGAGAAAATAATCGATTTAATAAAGCAGGCAAGTTTTTAAGTTAAAAATAAGCACTCGAGCTCGCTTGGTCGTGACAATAGATAGTTAACTAATAGAGTTAAAAAACCAACAAAGAGAAATATATGTATATACATATACATATGCATACATATATCTAGATATATGTATATATGCATATACATATATATATATATATATAATTTTTTTTTATAGATAGAAAAGAGACAGAAGATATAGATAGGCAGGTAGATTATAGGTGAGGTAGAAGTGACGTGATTACCGATGCACACAACACGCGCTATTGCTCACCAATTGGGCGCAGTACGGCACCTGCAAGGATACCCATCGTTAGGCTATCAGGTTAGTCATCACGGGCAAAGGTGGTGGGATTAATTTACATGATATGTTACGGGCATACAAATTTTGATATTAGTTTTTGCGTCACACATTCTTTCTTTACTTTTCTTATTTTTTTTTTTTCTTGTTTTGTTTCGTTTGCTTTTTTTCTTGTTTTTTTTTTGAGGGGTGTTTTTTTTTTTTTCTTTTTTTTTGATTCCCTTCAATAATCTCGCTCATCGTCGAAGGCACCCCCCTCCCCTCCCGAAATTGTTTCTCTTAATCGATCAATGATGAATCGTTTTATTCGAGATTACGAACAAAATGATTACTCATTTATATTCATTTATCTATTGATTAATTTTCCTTTATAATATTTATTGGAT